GGGTAGCCGGGGAAGTGACTAAAAGTGCGTAAAGAGCTGAGCAAGTGACATAGTTCCCTCTCTGACCCCTCTGCCACATGCAGCACCACAACACAGCAAAGTGGATTGCCCCACCCTTGCGAATAGCTAAGGCTCTGCCCCCTTCAATGTAACAGGAGCACTGAGACAAAGAAATATGGCCCAATGAAAGAACAGGTCAAAACTCCAGAAAAAATGAAACTAAGTGCTGAAGAGATAGCCAACTTATTAAATGCATAGTTCAAAACACTGGTAATCAGGATGTTCACAGAAATGGTTGAGTATGGCTGCATAATAGAGGAAAAAGAAAAGGCTATGCAAAATGAAATAAAGAAAAATATACAGGAAACCAACAGGAAAGGGAAGGAAACCAGGACTTAAATCAATGATTTGCAGCAGAAAGAAGAGGTAAATATTCAACCAGAAGAGAACGAAGAAAGGAGAATTCAAAATAATGAGGAGATGCTTAGGAACCTCTGGGACAACTTTAAATGTTCCAACATCTGAATCATAGGGGTGCCAGAAGGAGAAGAGAAAGAGCAAGAAATTGAAAACTTATTTGAAAAAAATAATGAAGGAGAACTTCCCCAGTCTGGCAGAGGAAATACTTCCAGGAAGTCCAGGAAACTCAGAGAGTCCCAAAGAAGTTGGACCCAAGGAAGCACACTCCAAGGCACATCCTAATTACATTACCCAAGATTAAAGATAAGGAGAGAATCTTAAAAACAACAAATGAAAAGGAGACATTTACCTACATAGGAGTTCCCATAAGCCTATTAGCTGATTTCTCAAAAGAAACCTTATAGGCAAGAAGGGGCTGGCAAGAAATACCTAAAGTCATGAAAGGCAAGGACCTACATCCAAGATTACTCTATGCAGCAAAGCTATCATTTAGAATGGAAGGGCAGATAAAATGCTTCCCAGACAAGGTCAAGTTAAAGGAGTTCATCATCACTAAGTCTTTATTGTATGAACTGTTAAAGGGACTTATCTAAGAAAAAGAAGAAGATCAAAAACTATGAACAGTAAAGTGACAACGAACTCACAGCTATCAACAACTGAACCTAAAAACAAAAACAAGCTAAGCAAACAATTAAAACATGAACAGAGTCACAGAAATGGAGATCACATGGAGGTCTTTCTAGGGGGAGGGGGAGCGGAAAGAAGAGGGGGAAGGTACAGGGATTAGGAAGCATAAATGGTAGATACAAAATAGACAAGGGGAGGTGAGGAATAGTATAGGAAATGGAGAAGCCAAAGAACTGATATGTACAAACCATGGACATGAACTCAGATGGGGGAATCCTGGTGGGAGGGGAAGTTCAGGGCGGAGAGGGATAAAGGGGAGAAAAAAATGGGATAACTGTAATAGCATAATCAATAAAATACACTTAAAAAGAAAAGGAAAACAAACTTTGCAATTGGCCTATGCATGATGGGTTCCTCTGTCTCTTCCTGCCAGTGGGAAGTGGCATCTGGTGGGGTCAGGGGGTAGTTATAGGAATATTAAAAAATTTTCTCCTTTCTCCTTTGCAATCTGCTGTGTAAGTGGACTTTAACCCATCATAAAATGGTGCTAGTTAAACCACATTCATTTACATACCAGAGACTTAAAATTTGAAAAATTTTGTAAACATTTGATAAATATAAATTCGACTATCTTTAAACAAACTCTTCATGATATACCAAAGAAGGTACAGCTCTTTCGTATAATATGGGATGAATTACCACAAAAAGACTTCATTAAATAACAATAGTAAAGAATGAGTACTTGTGCCATGCTATGAATCATTCTACATATCTTACATGCCTAATCTCACTCAATCTTCACAGCAAATCATGACCTTTTAAGGTATGAACTATTATGTCATCAGCTCAATTCTGATGAATCTGAATGATGAATCTGAAGTTCAGAGAGGTTATATAACTTGCACGAGGACTCACAGTTGGTGAACAACAGAGACTCAAAAAGTTGAACTGGGAATTCATGTGTACTCATTACACTCTATATTGTTCTCAGCCTTGGTGCGGTCATCATCATGGAAACTCTCTATGGCATGTGAAATGGTGTAGTTTATCTAGTGTGAACAAGAGAGCATATGTATAAATCAAAATCCAAAGAAATGTATTCTTTAGGAGAAAGCTTCAGGAAAAAAGATTTTGGAGTTTTTGGGTCAACATTTCTCACCAGGGTTCAGTTCCTTCATTTGTAAAGAAGAAATGAAATGGTCTCTAAGATCCCTGCCCATTCTAACATCTGTAAATACAGTTAGACACGCATGGACCCAACTGAGGGGAAGAAATATTAGAGTGCTTTGTAACTAAATGTGTGTCCTGTTTCCTGTAGATGTACAATATTCATTTTTGATGCTTTTTTCCTGATATCATTTACACTTTGCATGTCATTTTTATTTTCCTCCATCAAACTTTAAATTTCATTTTGCTTTCTTATAGTTACATAGGTTGTTTTATATCCTTTCTGGAGGGACAAGAATGCTATGGGCCAAAGGATTTGGGGGATGTTTTCTAGTCAGTATTTTTATGTTTTAGGATTTCCTCTAGTATATGTGTAATTTCTCAAATGACAATAAGTATAAAAATAGATGTTCAAGTTGATGTGCATTCTTTAGAATGATGGATTTACATCAGAAACTAAAAATATTTTTATAGACTTTAGAGACAGAGGGATAGGACTGAAAAACGCATTGCAGCCCAGCCATATCCTGTGAACACCCTATTATATACTGTGGTAGGGATTCTTCTTGTCCAAACCCATTTAAGGCCATGCTGTGCTGTGGCAATACTATATATAGCCCAGTGTCACCGTAAGAGCAGCTTCAGGAGGAAGCAAGGTGAATGGAATGTGTGTACACTTTAGAACTAAGTTAGTTTGGATTCTAGCCTCAGCTCTGATGCTTACTAGCTGTGCAACCTTGGGGAAATACAATAACTTAAAATCTCTGAATTTTTATTTCCTCATTTAAAAATGGTACTACTTCACACATTATTGTGGGTGGTTCAGGAGACTGAATAATATATTTATCAAAACATCTAATAGAATGCCTAGAACTTAGTAAACACTCCACATATGTTGGTTTTATTCTTTTCCTTGCTTGTTTGTTCCTTTTTCAAACACACCTCATTACAAACTAAGGAAATATATATTTTTAGCAAACACAAAATAAAAGAAGTGATTCCTGGTCATGGTTTGGCAAAATTTCAAGTTGTCATCAATTATTTTCAGAAATGTCACACAATTTTCAAAGATAATTTTAACTTAATTATTTTAAAATGGTACCTGAGTAAAATCACTGGTGTTACAAAATAAAATAATAACAATTGTAGTAGTTATCAAGAAGTTGGGAATCCCCACAACAAAACAAAAAGAGAAGTGGAAATTTGACATTTAAGAAAGAAGCAGATGGGATCTTCAAAACCAAGCACCAATTACTATAAAGGGAAAGCACAAACAAAGAACTTGACTAATCTGATAGTTTTTCATGCTGTTAGGTGATTAAAGTCACAATACAGTAATTCCTATAATGAATGATATATGATAATTTTATATATGTAAGCATTGCAATAGAAACAAAAGGTAGTGGGAAAGGTAATTTTTGTTGTAATAATATTTAGAATTTAACATAAATAAAATTGTTGTCTATATTTTCAAGAATATATAGGAAATGGCCAATTACAAGAAGATACAGTAAAAGTTAATAAGGGACCAAGCATATATAAAAAAGTCTCAGATTTTCAAACCTATCTGAGTTGAATTTTGAAGCCATGTTCAAATATGAAGAGATGTTTTATGTAACATCTTAATATTACAAATGAAAGGAAAATTCTGAATTTAATTATTACTGATATACATACAACACATGACAGCAGTTCAAATTATTGTTTGTATAAACTTTGGAAGTAAACGCTAATGGTCAGGAATCTTTTGGTTGTGGTGCTGCCACACAAGCTGCAATGCAGGCATTGGTAATGGGAAACCAACCATGAACTGTGTGGATAATTATTAGCATTGATTCTTTTATGTGTTGGGATGTGCTAGGGAATAAGACTGACAAAAATCCCTCTTCTCATAGAGTTTACATGCCAGAGCCAATATTTTTTTAAGTGAGTTATAAATATGTTAAAAGATAAAAGGGTCATTGAGGGAAGTAAAGCAAGAGGGTATATGATTGGGTTTTGGGAAATGGAAATAGTTTCAGAGTGTTTATGGGTTTTAATAAGAAACAGGAGTGAAGAGAAATGTTAATGGAGGTTAGAGAGATTTAAATGCAGATTATAGCAAGGGAAAGGGGAAATTATGATAAGAGAATCTTAAGGTTGTCAGGAGGGTGAGATCTTGTTTATGAAATCTTTATTCTTCAGAGTAGGAAACAGAAATTCTTTGAGTTTAAAGAATAGGGAGTAGAAATAGAATGAGAAGGAAGATATTTTAAAATAGTATTCATCCCTTTAGATCAGTATTTTTGCCCATCCTGAGCACAAGTATTTCCTTATGACCCAGAGCCAAATGTTCTGGGTTTCACTCTACTGAAGACACTAAATATAAGTGCAAGACAAAAATGTAAGGTTGTTGGCTATTTGAAGGTCATTTCCATTGTCCTCAGATGTGATTCCATCCCTTCCAGTGGATGAATGGGAGAAAGTCTCTCTTGAACAAACTCACGCTCCAGGCCCTGCAGGGTGAGGCTGGCCTAAATGGGGTCTGGGCTGAGAGGAGAAGCGTGAAACACCCAAGTGTAGTTCTTCCCTTTCTTAGGATCTGGAGTTAGAACCCTGGCAGGGCCTCCTCCATTGTTCAGGCAAATGCTTCCTTCCCCTGGTGATCTTTCATATAACAAAAACTTGAAGAGGAATTTGCACTTTTTCTAATGGTACACAAGGAATCATCAGCCTGGAGGTCTGCTGATCACAGGGAGCTAGCACCAGAAGCCAATTCTTTCTTCTTCTGCTTTCTTTTTTCTTAACACTGTACAACCTCCTTCAGTGCTCACAGCCCACTGGTAAGGAGGCTGGGCAATGGTTTGAGGTTGCAATTTACTCTGGCATGGGTATACTATGAGAGGCCCACAGAGAAACGCCTGCCATAAATCCATTACCATGCTCCAGAAACTAATTCTTTTTTTTTTTTAAATCCTCACCTGAGGATGTGGTTTTTTAAAAAAATTGATTTTAGAGAGAGAGGGAGGGAGAGAGAGAGAGAAAGAGAGAGAAACATAAATCAGTTGCCTCTCATATGTACCCTGACTGGGAATCAAACCAGCAACCTTTTGGTGTATGAGATGATGCTCTGACCAACTGAGCCACCTAGCCAGGACAACAGAAGCTAACTCTTAAATGAACAAGAAGACACCTATTTTTAGGAGGTAGCATCCCAGTTTCCATTCACCATTCTTCATAGGTCACAGTGCTGACTCTGTGGCTTCCAAGGACCTTCTAGGCTTGAGTCATCATGACTTCAGCACCTTATCTAGTTTCCTGAAGCCTATTACTCCCTGAGAGGCAAAATTGGAACACTTATTTGTTGTGTATTTTTCCCCTTGTTCCCAGCCTCAGTGGCTTTACATTCATCAGGATGGGACAGATAAGACAGATATTTCATAGAGTTAGTAGAATCTAACTCAAGGGCTAGAAGCCAGTAAGTCATGTGCATGTCCCTCACCACCAGGTTCCTGTGGCAGAGGTTCAAATAGCAGCAAATTCCTTATTAGATAATGAACAGAACAGAAGAGATGGTAATGATAATGATAGAGCAAGCTTTAGCTCTGGAGAAAACTACTGTAGGAGTCAGAATTACAAACCCTTACAATCCCTAATGCATTAATCATAAACCTTCTAGATTAACGTATTTACTGGGGAGTTAAACATGTCCCAAATTCAATGTCAGAAAGCCTTTACTTTGGAGCAGTCTTAGGTCATTGCCTTGACTGGTGATTGGATTAGTGCCAGGAAGGTTCAACTAAAAATCTCTGCATTCATTTTAATCTTAAATTGTTTTGAAATCTGTTGGTAGACAGAATGGAAACCTTTTCCCTAATTTTAAGAAAGCCCAGGAAAGAGTACAGGGGGTGATCAAAAGGGTTGAAAATAGAGTCTAGGAGAATTTAAAAGAAGGGAGCTGACTTTGCTTGAAGAAAGAAGAGCAGGATGGAAGTAACAAGCTTCAGAGTTCCTATTTACAGTCATCCATCCGTTCATTCATTCACCCAAAGTGCCATGCACTATGTCAGGACCTGGGGGACACAGAGAAGAACAAACATAGAGGTAGACAGAGGAAGTCTTTAGTTCAAAAATCTCCTCTCCATTGTCAGTGACCAAGATTTGAACAAGATCGAGTAGGGTATTTCCTACTGGATACAAGTAGGAAATAAGTCTAAAGTGAAGAGATTTGAGAAATTGAAATGCTTGTCAAAGCCACAGTAGCAGTGGAAATAAATACATCCCTACCTGCCATTTGCTTAAGAGAACTACTTCTGGCTAAATGGTAAAGTAAGTTTCAGGGCTAATGGGGAGAATTTCCATCAGAAAAAAATTATAGGTTCAATTTTATAGTTTGGAATATTTTGTGATAGGCCTTGCGTGGTCAGCATAAAGTAAGGCAAATATTTTGTGGTTTCCATTGTGCTTTTCATCTATACTCCACACTGTATGATTTATATCAGGGTCTATCCAGACAACAGAAATAGCAGAAAAGAAAAAGCCATAGTGACCTTTCTTCCCACCACATTGCAGTTAACAAAAAAACCCTATGGCCATGTTTACCAAGAAAACAGCTTGTAGGAATTCACAGTAACCAATTGGGTTATTAAGTCTTGAGTTCCACTTTGCTGCAGGTTCTTGGAATTGCCCAACTCTTGATTAACTGAGAGTTATCATTTAAGACATATAAAACTGTGACTCTATATACAAATATAAGGATGATCTTTTACTTTATTTTAAATAGGATGGACAAAAACTTGATGACTCAAATACCAAGATAGTGGGTTGTTTTTTTTTTAACTTGAATATTTTGGTTTGACTCTAACAACTTAAATAGGTAAGTTTAAAATTTTTTAACCATATGTAAGTCCAATTTAAAAATTTATGAGAAACCAAGAGAAACAGAATTTTATGATAAAATGAAGGAATTGCTCAGGCGAGCAATTGCTAGTCAATATTTTCAATATTCAATGATCATTGTGGAAATTTAAATATGAATTTTATCTTTTAAGAACAGAATTATGTTATGGATCTTCCCAATATGCAAACTACATGTACCTAAAAATTATGAGAATCAAAAAGTTGTTCTTAATGTGTTCTTTCTTTGTTTATTGTATATACTATTATAAAGTGAATAGGTCATTTTAAATAAATTGTTTGTGTGCTTTCAATCAAATCCTTTAAATAACATTCTTACAAAAAGTTTCTACTTTGTGCAGAGCACATTGTTTTCTCCTAAAAATAATACTGAAATACATATAAACAAAAATTTATATATGTAATTTATTACTGTAACATATGACACAGTACTTGGAGAAAAGTTTCTAAATATGTCCAATTGTATGTCATATGCACCTAATTTAATAGAAGTGACAAAATATTTAACTGAAATCTACTCGTTCCTCCTCCATCCTGAAACAATGTCTTATAGGTCAAGTGTCTGTCTTTTCAGAGCTTACCTGTCTCACTTCCAATCAAAGGCTGATTTGCAAAATGCTTGACAAAATCCTTCAAAGATGAGAATTCATTAAAGCCAAATTTAAATGAATATCCAGTATATTCAACATGAAAGTGTTTGACAGAGTCTTTGGCTCTGAAAGGGAAAAAGAAATGTTTAATGTTATTTAACAAATAAATATCATTTTTGAAGGAAAATAATAACCTAGGGTATTTGTATCATGATTAAGCCCCCCTAAAAACCATTGGCATTTTTAAAGAACAGGTGTTTTCTTTTTGGCAGAGTGTGCTCTTAAGACTTTTTCACTCTAGTGGAAGATAAGAGACAACTGTCCATGTGCATTCTCTGACTTGTTGAAAAAGTCCTTGAACATTAACCTCCCCAAGGAGCATGAGTTAAAGAAGGGCAGGGAAGAAAGATGATAGAAAAGGCAGGTCACATCTTTCCCCACATTCTCCTCTGTCCTTGGCCCAACTTCCTTACTTGTTTGGCAGTCAATTTGAATTCTATTTCTGTCACTGAATTAGTTATGTGAGTCTAACCCTTTTCCTCCCATGCTGGCTCTACTGCCTACTGACTAAAATATCAAATTCCTTACATTGCCATTTCCCACTTCATTTTTGGAATGAGGCATTAAATAAATTATAAATTACATATAGTATATACAGTGTCTGTCCAGAAGAAGTCCAGCCATTGTTAATATAACGAGAATGGGTTGTGTGACATTGATGTAACCTGGCAGCCAAGGAGAGTGGACTGGAATGCGTACGTGTGAACAGTGACAGCTTCACTGTACTAGTCAGTGAGGGTGTTAGATGCCATTGAGTGACCATGTGTACCATGAGGCCATTGTATTCAAAATGACTGAGTGAGTAGAGCAATGAATCTGCATCAAATTTTGTGTTAAGCTTGAACACTCCTCTGCAGAAACTACTCAGATGATTCAGAAGGCCACAGCTATGGGCAACTGGTGGTTGCCAGCTTCATCATAGCAACAAACCCACTCAAGTATCACATTTCATGTAGCGTTTTTTTGGAAAACATCAAATCACCCGGTTGACTCAGCCCCTCTACAGACCAGATTTGGCACCTTGTGACTTCCAACTTTTCCCAAAACTAAAATCACCTTTGAAAGGGAAGAGATTTCAGAATGTCAGTGAGATTCAGGAAAATATAATGGGGCAGCTGATGGTGATTGGGAGAACTGTGTGAGGTCCCAAGGTGTCTACTCTGAAGGGGACAGAGACATTATAGCCCTACCTACAATGTTTCTTGTATCTTCTTCAATAAATATCTCTGTTTTTCATAGTACATGGCTGGACACCTTCTGGACACATCTTGTATATTTTATTTGAATCCCACTATTCCTCTCCTCGCTGTGCAAGGCAGCCTCTGGCTTTCACATGCATCAGAAGTCAGAATCAGTTCTGGCAGGGTAGCTCAGGTGATTAGAGCATTGTCCTGATATGCTAAGGTTTCAGGTTTGATCTCTGGTCAGAGCACATACAAGAATCACCTAATGAATGCATAAATAAGTGGAATGACAAACTGACCTCTCTCTCAAATCAACCAGAAAAAATCAGAATCACTTGGAGGCCTTGTTAAAACCTTGATTTCTGGGCCCTACCTCCTGAATTCCTTATTCAGTAGGTCCAGGATGGGGCCAAGGAATCTGCATTCTTACTACATTCTCAGGTGATGCTACTGGTCTCAGGACCACACCTTGAGAACTGCAGCTCTAGTCCAGCTGGACCTACAATTCTCCTAGGATTTTTCACTTTGTCCCTTAGCTCATACAGTTCCCTTCTCCTGCAACTTCTTCCCCTTTGTTTCTGACCAAGTGTCTATTCAAATACCACCTATTCTGACAAATATTGCAAGATCCATCCAGCTTGAGTTACTTGTTTTTTATTTTCTAACAATCCAAGCACTTATTTTGCTTTCTTTCATATCATTTACTGCACTCTACTTTTTAGGGAAGTATTTGGAAATGTCTTATTATTTATGCAAGGCTACATTTCCTAAGGGCAAGTTCTCTGAATCTTCTGTAAGACTTGTCAAAATGGTTGGCACAGAGCAGATTCTGTTAAATATTTATTTATTATCCTGAGTTTGTCTATAGTTCCTATCGCATCCCCTGCTGTGTGTGTGTGTATGTGTGTTTAAAGCTTTTACAAGAGGTTGTAATGGAAATTAATTGTTTATAGTTAAAATTTTATATAGATGTTATATATACGCCATCTCTTTGTAAAGAGCTAATGATCCATTTATTAAGAAGAGGGATATACAGGTGAAAAGTTAATATTCTTTGATCCCATAATTCCACATGTTTGTTTGAGATTTTTGGGGAGATACATACAATAAAGGATCCATAGTGTAACTACTTGATGACTTTTTAACATTTGTTTTTGATCAAAAAAAGCACAGTCCTTGCTTCCACCTAAACAGAATTCCATTTTTGATTAATAATTTTCCCAAATATGTTATTTAGAAAATTTTTAAAGAAAATACAGCAGAGTAACATAAAAATATTAATGCTTTTTTTTTCCTGTCACCCCCTTATTTGCCCCATCACCTTTCCACCTATTTTTCTCAATTCCCTTAAAGCACCCTGCAGACTTCCAGTGATCCAGGGAATGGAAGGTATAGCAGGCAGCATTCTGACATGGCCCCAAAGTTCTCAGCTCCTGGAGTACGTATACTTTTCCCTAATTACTCAATATAACACTAACATACATGCTGCTGTGAAGGTATTTTTTCTGATAAGTAAGGTCCCGAATCAGCTGATTTTAAAATAGGGAGATTGGGTGGGCCTGAACTAAGAATGTGAGAGTTTTGGTAAAAACAGAGTTTCCTCTGGCTGGTCACAGAAGAGTGAATCAGCGAGACATGCTCTAATGGCCTAGGAAATAGCAAACGTCTATGTGAACTGCCTATGGGGGCCACTGGGCAAGGAACTGTGAGTAGCCTCTAGGAGCTGAGAGTGGTCCCTGGTTTATAACTATACAGAAAATGGGGAGCTCAGTCCTACAGCAGCAAGGACATGAATGAAGAGGAAAGGGGAGAATGAAAGAAGAGGACACAGAGCCCCAGATAAGCCACAGCCTTCACCAACACCTTTATTTCACTCCGGTAGGGGGCTGAGCAGAGACTCCAACCACATCATGCCTAGACTTCTGATATACAGAAAGTGTGAGATAATCAGTTTATGTTGTATTAAACCACTATGTTTTAGGGTAATTTGTTACATAGCATAGAAAATATGGAAGGCTCCAAGTCCCAAGAGAAGATAAAAAAATTGATTCTTGGCTTTTGATCTCATAGAAGCCTGCCATCAATTATTTAGGCAAATGTGTTTATAGCCAATTTTTTTCCCCTATCAGAGGGAGAAGAGATTTTTAAAAGAAATATTGCTGAACTGGACAGAAAGGAGGATTCAGAGAGAAAGGGGTGTAGATGTTGCTACTGAGACATCAACAAGGAGGCCTGGACCATGTGGAGCAGGAAAAAGAAGAGAAAACCTTTTTATGAGAGATCAGTGATCAACCTGAGGGGCTGCAACAGGAAGAGAACCTGTTGCTTTCTTTCAAGGGTATATGGAGGTGCCATCAGAGCAGTAATTAAGTAGTGACAGTTTGAGGTTAATGGTAGGTTAATTGTAACAAGAAGACATTTTCATGGAGTCCTCACATGCCTAATCTAAGCCGGGGCAACTGCCCATGAACCAACAAAGACTTGCTACATGCCAACAGAAGGCAAGGTGACAGTTGCTGACTGAGAACCATCAGCTCCACCTGCTTATCTCATGGCAAGGCCAACTTCTCTGAGAGGAAAGCCATCCAGGGGGACAGAGTGAGGAGAGAGACCCTGGCACGACTGGACGGACACTATTTTTGATACCTTGTAGGTATTAGATCAAGTTTGTTAACCTTCAGGGGAAACAGAACCTTGAGAAAGAAGGTCAGTCTATTCATAGGAAAGAAAAAGTAAAAGTTGCATTAATGCCTTCTTGAGGTTGTGAAAGTGAAAGTTGCACAGCCACAAATAACTCAGAGTTTTCAGAGGAAGCAAGGATGCTGGGCCGGGATTCAGGAGTCTGGATTCTGGTACTGTTTGTGTCACTGGTTTATTGGGTGCAAGACAGTTTACTACTTCAGGTTTCAGTTTCTTCATCAGTCAAGCTAGAGGTTTGGATTAAACAGTTCATAAAGTCTCCTTCAGCACTAACATTTTTTACTGGCTAATGGAAGGAGAAGAAATATGTTTTACAGTCTCACTGCTCAGAGGTTGCAATTCTTAGACTGCCTGGTCTACCAGGAATTAGGGGGATTTTGACTATTTTGAGTGTGTTGATAAAGTCAATGGCTATTTAAGTTAAGAAATGGGACCATGTTAAATTCATAGAGCTACTAAGCGTCCTACCTCACGGAGAGAGAGTACAGCCCGGTTCTCTCATTGCTGTCCCTCAGGAGGTAGCTGCCGTCACATCCATTTGAGAGGAGGAGAGCCTCCGCCGCGTGGCGCGTAAGGTTTCCGTGATACCACCTAGAAAGGAGGGAACAGCGCTTTCACTCAGGGCATACTGCCGGGTGACTCTTCTTTCATTGGCTTTTCCTCTCAAAGATCACCTCGGCAGTACTCCTCGCATAGGTGGCCCAGAGACCAACCTCTCAGCCAAGACAGGACAAGGAAATCACTGGGTGTGGCTAAAGGGAAGAGCAGAGAGAGTTCACTATCAATGAATGTTATGGGTTGAATTGTGTTCTGAATATTCATGTATTGAAGACCTAATCCCCAGAACCTCAGAACATGACCTCATTTGGAAATAGGGTCTTTAGGAAGTTATGGGGTCATCAGCATGGGCCCTAATCTGTACGACTGATGTCCCCTTGTAAAAAGGGGACATTTGGAAATAAACTTGAAAATAGAGAGAGTGCCATGTAAATATGAAGACAACCATCTACAAGTCAAGGAGGGAGGGCTGGAGCAGACCCTCCCTCACAGCCCTTGGAAGGAACCAAACCCATCAACACCTTTGATTTTGGGCTTCTATCCTCTGGAACTATGAGACTAATTTCTTCTGCTTAAGCCATCCATTTTGTGGTATTTTGCCACGGTAGCCCTAGCAGACAAACATACAAAATTACTTGATAAACAGGAAGTTTTTTAAAAGTCCAAGTTAAAAATAACTATAAGAATAGACTTTGGCAAATTTTCTCTCTTTCATTTGTTTTTTCTCTCACTGTTTCCCTTGCAAGAGTGGTACCACCTTTTGCAGTGTGGAAACCAGAGCTGTTATATTAGAGTCCATTGTCATGAGGAATTCAGATTTTTATATGAGATGCAAGCCACATTAAATATTGTTGCAAACTGACAAATATCTGAAGAGCTGAGAAAGTCCCAAGGAGACTCAAATTTATCTATGGGTTAAAAAAATGATTTAGAAAATGTAACGTACATCCATGATAGAAGAAAACATTGCCAAATGCTCTTCAAAAGAAGACATAGTGAAAATAAGCTTTTTTTCCCCACCCTTAATCCTCAGTCCCCCTGTTTCTTTCCCTAGAGGACACCAGTGCTAACCATTTTCCTGGGTTTCCTCCTAAAAGATGTCCTATACATCTAGAGCAGTCAATTTCAACTGGTGTGCTGCAAGAATTTTCAAAACATGCAGTCCCTATTAGTCAGGGGCACTGACCTCTTTTTCTTTAGACTATCAAATAGAAAAATGACAACAGCCAACACAACAATAGCCGACTGGTGTTAGTGTCCTGACTCAAACAATAAATATATAAGAGTTGCACTTATTGATCATGTTGCATAATAAGCTTGTGTCTGGTTGGTTAATTCTTGGTACCAGAAAGCTTTATGTACATCTATAGGCAATGATTTTTACCAAGTCACTTTGGAGCAAAAAGAGTAGGTAATTACTATTATTATTTTTTGTAAATCAATCAAAATGATACCCATTTTTTGTCAGATGGGCAAAAAATATTTTTTTGGTGAGCCATGGAATTTAATGATTAGTTTATTTGTGCTACGAGATGAAAAAGGTTGAAAATTGTTGATCTGGAGAAATTCGGATATGCCCCCTCTCCTAATTCCATGGAAACAGAGCATTCTAGGCACGCTCTCCTGCACCTTGCTCTTCTTCCCTTAGAGACTTGGTGGAATTTCCCACCTGCAGCGTCCCCAGTACTCTTTCTTCCCTTCCCCCCACCACTCCCCATTGCTTTTGCACCCCTCTCCTTCCCTTTTTATGTATGTATTTATACACACATAAAATTGTGTATGTATGGCACAGACATACACCATTTTAATTTTGGGGCCATTACCCTACACCCCTTGTTGCTACCAAAACAACATGGGCTGAGAGGTCAGGGCTGGATGGACAGACACATTCCTCTACCCATACCCTTTCTGTGTGTGGTTGGAAAATTTTTTTGTTTTTTGGGTTTTTTTTCTTGAATAAAAGATTCTACTTAAAAAAAAAAAAGACTTGGTGGAGGCAGTCCAAGGTGGTGACTAGGATTGTGGTTTCTGGAGTTGGTTTGCCTAAATCCCTATCCAGGTGATAACTCTTAGTAGCTTTACAAGTTACCAAACCAATCTGAGCCTCAACTTTCTCACCTCTAAAATAGGATTAATAATAGTCTTCAGGATTAACAATGCGAATACTGCTCACATTAACACATGTGAAATGGTCAAAATAGCCCTGGCAACCAGCAAAACTTAGTACACACCAGTTGTTAGCATGAAGTCATTGAGACCCACAAAGCCATAACTTGTGGTGTACTCTCTGTGGTGTGATTTTCTTGTTGCTCAAATATAACTTTGTATTACTTTTAATTTATTTCAGATAACAGAAAGCTGCATACAAGAACAGTTGCTACTGCAAGGGATCCATAGTCCAGGGCGGAGAGAGGAAAGGGGACATGGGCAATTACACAAATAATGTCAATAAAGGAAGTACTGTTAGCAAGATGTGTATAATATACAAGAAAATAGAGGAAGAGCCTAACTCTGGCCATGTCTCTGCTGTTATGAACCACACTGGAATCCACTGTGACATCACCATGGCCTGAAATTTTAGCCTGATAAGAAAAACTAAACGTAAGACCATCTATGGAAGGAAGTTTCTGCATAAGTCTCCAAGCTATTGTCTAAGTGTGTGTTTCTTTAGCCTGTTTCCTCTTTGGGTCAGAGATGTCTCCATTATGTAGTAGAAATATATTTGCTGGCTGAAAACAACTACAATGAAAAACATTTTATTAAAAAACCCATTGAGTTATTTACCCACAAAAGTCTCATTCATTGAATTGATTCATATACAAGTTCACATCTTCTCACTACAAAATGCTTTCAAAGGAAAACTGGAACCTAAAACTAATATAATGTTGTATGTCAATTATACTTCAATTAAAAAAAAAAAGAAAATTGGAGGAATTAAAAGTGAAGCTGTAAAAATGCCTCAGATTTGGCTACAGCCAAAATTCTAATTTCTTTGATAGCTAAAATCTCCCTAGACAAGGTCACAAGTTCTTAAATTCTTTTTGCTAATAATTAAACTTTGGATGAACATTTCAGAATAAGATTTAGTTTGAGCTAGTAGATCATGTATTTGAAGGAAAAAAATCTGATCAACAAAATTCTAAAATGTAAAGGATTTGGTCATTCCTTTCGATTATTTTCAATGAGCTCCAAAGTCTATATTTAAAGCATTTACAGATTTCTTCTGATAATTACAGCTTGATGGCAGTTTTTTCCCCTAAGAAAATTTGTATGGTAATCTTTTAATAATAATCATATGTCATAAATACATTGACAATACTTGAGTACAAAGCAAGAAGAATCATACTGTGCTCCAATTTGAAACATCTCAGTAAATGTTAATTTCTGGGTGGTATCTTGAGTCAATCTTGATGCTTCTGGGGTTTTATCAAGTCCTGGGCCTGGACAAACCTAAGATAGAGCCTGCCAGACAGCCACCTACACACACTTCCTGATGACTATGGGGCAATGATGATCCTCATTCCCCAAACAGCTCTCCCTTAAATGCCTGAATTCGATCTTTTGAGTTAAGCATTTCTTTTCCAGAAACTTAGGATGAGTATATCTTCCAGGGAGGTGACTATACATCCAAATAACATGACAGGTCTTTTGTAGACATACCCTACCTTTGTCCAAGAAGAACTAAAGGTTAAAAATTGATAGTTTCCTACTAATTTAAAAATTCAAGTTGGTAGTTTCCTCACAATCCATCTTCTCTACCTTGTATCATTCAACTTTTATAAGTCTTTATTTCTTAAGCTTTAAATTTGTGCAAAGCACTGTACTGGGCAGGTCAAAAAGAAAAAATTGAAAAGCCTGAGGCTGGGCTTCAAGAAACCATTAATCTAGTTAGAAGGATGAGAAAAATACTTTGCAAACTGTATGCTAGAGGGTGAAACGCCCAACAGAGGTTTCAGGAAGAAAAATTGAGACCGTTCCCTAAATGAGCCAACATCAAAGTAGGCCTTCAAGGACATGTAAGTTATTTTCTAAAGTGTGTATAATTTGTTTTGATTATAGAGTTTATGTAGTAAAAATTAAAATCTATACACACACAGAAGGGAAAGTGAAAGTTTTTCACACAAGAGGAATTATGTGTTTTAAATAAAGTCGCAGTACTAAATGCAGAAATGCACATTAAAACAAAAATGTTCCATTTTCGTTATCCTTTAGGTTGACTAAAACTGAAGAGTTAGATTGCATTAACTATCAGAGAATTTGGGGACAACGGATATTATTGTCTTTGCTTGGGAGGAGTATAAACTGGAGGGGAATTCAGCACATCTAGTGTAATTGGACACGCACAGGTGACTGGCAACTCCGCTTCTTGTGTCTGCCTAGCAGAGTGCTCACACATGTGCAGAGGAGAGATGAACACAGGTGTTTGTTGCATATATGTTTATGAGAGTAAACATTTGGAGCCACTGTAAATATGCAGTGATAGCGAGATGACAAAGTTGAATGCTCATGGACGATTATGTAAAACATTAACCAAAAGTGTTTGAAAATATGTGAGTGCATTTTTGGTTGTCAGATGATAAGGGCAGGGGATTGGGTGCTGTCAGCACTTTGTGAGGGTGGGCGCCAGTAACGCTTCACATCTTACAAAGAATGATGCAGTTCTGAGCAACCAAGAATTGTACTGCTCAGAACATCAATTACACCCTCCACTGAGAAACACTGGGGGTATTGTACATACACACACACACCCACACCCCCCCCCCACACACACATCAAAAGCTGATAGCCCCCAAAACATACTGTTAAGTTAGAGGAATTAGTTCGCAGGTACAGAATGACACTACTTAGTTTTATAAATCACCCCTTCTCTTCCCAAACTTTACAACACATATATGTGTACATATAGTGATAGGCAAACACATAAAATGAAAGTATACACCAAACTCATAAGTACAGTTTCCTTAATGGAAGAAACCAGGATTGAGGGTGTTGTTAAAGGAGACTTTAGCTTGATCAAACTTTCTTAATACGGC